ATAAATAAATAAATAAATAAATAAATAGTAAATAAAAATAGAGCTGTGACAAAATGTGCGAAGTCTTAATATTTTCAATACATTTTTCCTGAGATAGTATTTTCTTTGGGCACTACGAATCCTGTTCGCAAATGGGACACTGACTTTCAGATATTGAAGGAAATATTTTATTGTTTGATATTAATATAGATGGCAATTTAATCTTCATTATAGCTAAAAGCCAACCACTTTAACTGTTAAACAAAATGTAACTCCTTACTGCTTATTAACACACCCCTATACTCTACTATCACATACTGTACACTGGCAGCTTGAGTGATTATTAACTCCTCTTCGACTTTACAAAGTATTACCCAATGTTTTGCGACACTGTATGAACAAATAGGAAAGTTTGTCTGACCCTGAATTCTCCAGAAAAACTGGGCTATTACGACACCATTTACTGCTAGGAAGCCCCAACCTTTTTTTTTTAAAGTACCAGATGTTTTATTTGGATTCCTAACCCGCACCATAACACTTTTACTAGATCATTTTTAAAGAAATCTGAAATGTTTTTATGTTCATTGTTAACTAGTTTGGGATCTTTTATAGTGAGGAGAAATACTGATAATAAATGTATGTTCATGATTCGATGGTCAAAATCCTTATTTCCACCCCCCCCCCATGTATATGTAGCAACATTTTAACTGTATTCTGCAAAATAAATCACTTTATGAATCTCGCAGCTATTTAACTTCTCACATTGCCACTTCTGAGAAGGTGCTATTACTACAGTACAGACATCCGCACCCATCCTTGTAATTATCCCAAGAAACCTTCCGGGAGTCGCTGGACCCGAAAAAACTAGGAACCGTCTCCGCCACGCCTGCAAGGCTCCCCCTTCCCGTTTTCAGAAGGTCATAGCAGGACACGGGTAGGAAAAAACACCGCCGACGTGAAAAATTCGTCCACCGTAATGGCTCCAAAGGCCACAAACTACATTTCCCAGCATGCAAAGCTGCCTGGAAACTTTCCTTCCGTCTGTCAGGGGAAAAACCGACGCAAATCGACGCCCTGTAAACAAAAGCGGTCATCGGCGAACGAAATGGAAAACTACAAAGGCCGGACATCCACGCGCGATTTTCCGCTTAAACGTCACTAGAGCGATGGGCGCCATTGGCTATTTTGAAGCCACGCCCTAAATATCACTGAGCCCGCCTCTGCCGCTTCTAGGCTATGTATAAAAGTCGCGTCAGCAGCCGCCCTCCGCCTTTAGTTCCTGGCGTCTGAGAGGAGAAAGATGTATCGATTCCGTTCACGGGCATCCACGGGGATTTCTACCGCTGCTACAGCTTTGCCGATCACCTACCTTCCTCAATCACATCCGCTGCCTCGGTCCGGGAAGCCAGCCTCCCAAAGACGTTTCTATAGTAAAAAGCGCTCCTGGTCTTCCATCGGCTGATTGTCACTGCCGCCCGACGAGGGGAAGGAAGTAAAGCCAGAGACCGAGACCTCGGTGCCGGAGCGCCAGGAGGAGCCGCGCGGAGATACTACCGTTGCAGGCCGCTGCCATGCCCAAATCGAAGCGGCGAGGAGGGGGTACCCCGCGCGGAACATCAGGTAAATGGATGAGCGCGTACACGTTGCCGCCGCCGCGAGCTATGCTGGGTAGTGTAGTTCTACGCTGTTTCGTTCTCAATGACGGGCGTCTGGGTGTGAACTGTGATTCCCATAAGCTGCTGCGACAGTGTGGGTGGGGGAGGGGGAAACCGGCCTGCAGGCCGCGGCGATGCGATTCTTTCTTAGATCGAGGCTGGTGTTAGGCTGCAAATGTGGGCGAGGCCTTGAGATGGCCGGGCGACTCCTCAGACCCGGCCCTGCCCTTCCTGTCCATGGCGTTTCTACATTATACAGCGCAGCCTGGTGTCCTGGAAGGCTACAAATGCTAAAACAAAGCGGCCCCTGAACTGCCGTCCGCTGTAATTCATTTAGGAATTCAAGATATTTTCGCAGAGTATTAGTTCAGAGGAGCTTTTGTTTTTATTTAAGACTGAGCTGTTACTTTTAATTCGCTTCTGCTTCGAATGATGGTCTATGGCACTTTCTCAGTATTGATATTCAATTAATGGATGTTTCCACCTGATGTAAAAGACTTAGATAAACAGCATTTTTTAAAAGGGACTAAGATTAATTTGAGCGCAAATTAAGTTCCTCGAAGCCTGAAAATAATTAGAGAAAAATTTCTACTTCTGCAAATGCTCAGAATGAGGCTGAACTTTCCAAAATTAATATGAATGTATTATATGTATGCCAACAGTAAATTGTTTATGCTTATTTAGATTTTTACCCTAAATATCAACAGGTAATTAAAATGAACTCTGTTTTATATGCTTTGTGGAAAAAAATTAGAATTCCAGTTAAAAGTTTGTAAATGCAGCTTATTGTCATGTTCTGAAACTGCCCTGAGAAGACACTTCATTGGTTGAACTAGTAGCTTGAAGATCAGGTTGGTTATGACAGATTCTACCTAAATGCTTGAAGAAGCAACGTAGTTTCCCCTGTAGCTGAAGAAAATTGAAAATTAGAAATCTTAAAAAAATGCAGTCCAATCTATAGTATGTTCTCAAAAGATATTAGTAACAAGATACTTTAACAAGTAGTGCATACTACTGATAGAACATAGTAAATATATGTAAGGATAATGTAACTTCTACACTGCCATTCAGGCCCAATAACATTAGCTACATATTTTATTTTTCAGGTTTTTTAAGTTTGTTTCTGTGGCCTGGATGTTGGCTTTTAATTTAAAGCCAGAATTAT